TTGAGGGAACACATGAGCAGCCTGCGTACACTCCGCTCTTCCGTCTGGTGCATAGCTAACGATTTCTGTCCTTTCCATACTGAAGATAATCTCTGGCTGTGCATGTAACGGTTTCAAACCCAAGATTGGCAAACGCACCTTCATGCAAACAACGAAAAACAAGCGGGCAGTCGGTATCTGGAAGAGGCCCCGAGTTTTGACTCAAGGCCAAGTATCCCCCGACCTGCAAGGATATGTTCCTCCCTCTTCCTCTGGAGAACAAGAATGTAATGCCCAAAGCTGCTGATTTCCGACAGGCATGCAAGAAGTGCCCCCCTAGTCGCAAAGGCTCCACGTCCCAAGCCAAGAGCAGCCTATCTTCGAAGCTTAGTTTGGGGCTTTCAGTCAGGACGTGACGTCCGTGCCTGCAAGCTGGACCCAAGCGGGGGGTCCCAGCACCACTCGGCCGCTGTCCAGAGCGCGTCCCCGTCGTCCGACTCGCATGCCTGAAGCCCACAAAATGTGGCATCCACCAAAGGCTGACCCCCCGCCGAAAAAAGCAAGGAGGGCAAAACCCCCCGATATTTCAGTATCTTCAAAGGTGTTCATGCAAATCCATCGTGCAAGTTTAAGGGGTCTGAACTTTCGGAGCTTTTGTTCTGCAAATTGTGGCGTGGCCCCCTGAAAATCTGAGGCCCATGTCACCTTGTCCAGGAAGTCCTTGGCTCCGAGGAAGTCCCCCTTCCTCGCCAGCGCCAAGGCGTGGCCATAGAGCCCCGAAACATCGCCAGCCTCTGCCAGCTTCCTGGCACAAAGCATGAAATCCTCTTGAATCCCCATCCAAGGGGGGGGGGTGCTGGTTGTAGGACACACCCATGTCCACTCCTTCTTCTGTAGATTGGGAAGGAGGGTCTTACAGCATTGTTTTTAAGAGGCTGCAGGATGAATTCCTGGTGGATCCTTCGGCTGCAGGAGAAACCACTGGAAACACCAACGGGCCATCAAAACCCGAGTAAGCTGCGGCTCCTGAACCATGGGCAGGTGCCCTCAGACACGGCTTGCGGGGAGTCTTTGAAGTGGATGACCAGCTCAAAGCGGGATCCCTCCTGCACGTCGACGCCGTGGTGAAGATCGTGATGAAAAAGGCACACGCCTCCGCGCTCCAGCTGTACAAATCTCCGATCCAACGCTCGTCCCGAGCCCTGAACGAAGAGCCCCCCTGTGTAGGCGGACGAGTCCTGCAGAGCCACGCTCATCACAGCCCATGCGCGAACCTCCCGGTGAAGCGCCAGGAAACGCCTCTCCTCTGGCACAAAGCGCCGCAGGAAGGCCGAAGACAGCGTCGCCGCACCCAACTTCTGGCGGACAAGCGGAAGCAGCACGGACTCGACCAGGGGCCGCAGCGCTGGCACCTTGTTGAAGTTGCCTCCTCTGGCCACCTCCACCGCGAAGGCAGGCCGGCCGTCCACATCCGGCTCCCGGCCCCTGCCACTGCCGATCTCTTCGCTCAACACCTGCGAACAGGAGGACAAGAGCTGCGAGGCTTCGTTGTCCGTGAGGAGGCCCGGGTAAACAAAGAACTCCGCCTCGCCGGGCGCATAGGGCCTCGGCACCGCGCCGCGACTCTCCAGCACAAACCTACTGCCAGCCGCAATGCTGCTGGGAGCTTCTGAGAAGACATAGGGTCTCACCTGGGCGGACAAGAAGCTTGGCTCCATTGGCTCTCACGGACCCTAAATTTGTTTCATTCCAAGGCGGGCGTTGGGACCCAGCCCACTTGCCTGGGTTATCCTCCCAAATGTTCAAGCACCTTCACCAACCGCACGTCGTCCGGTCGCAACCTAGGTGCGCCTCTCATCCAACAACAGCGTGCAGATTGCAGAAAACTGCTCATGGACACGTGGCATGGCTGTCGTTGGTCGGACACACAAACAAAGAAAGGTCAACCGGGGAACCCCTTGGGACAGGGCTTCCTTCGCAAAGCCTTCGGGGCTTGACAATTGGCTCGGAGCAATATACAAACTAATTACCTTGTTACAAACAATTGGCCCGATGAGGCAATGCAAAGCGACACCGTGTGACACGTTGCGAAACCCAACAGGCAACCAAGAGTGTGCGTGATGCTTTCCCGGACTTCTGCGACAAGTGTTTAAGGCCTTCATGGCCTGCATGTAGCTTTCGTGAGAGCTCATTATGAGCACCCCTCAGTTCCCTCAAGACTCCTGACCGAATGAGAAAGCAATGAATGCGTCAGAATGACCAAATGAAAGCCCTGAAAGCCTCCCGAATCCAAACGAGTCCAAACCCTCCCGAATCCAAAGGCTGGGACTGGCACAGCCGCCAGCTGATCAATGGCCGGCCAGGCAGCTGGCTCCTGGGGACTAACGAAGAGCAAAAGCAAAGCAGAGCCTTTCCTAAGGACTAACGATTTTGTCCAACGCAAGGAAGTTGTCGTGCATTGGAAAGGACTACCCAATTTATTCCCCATCCACAAGTCGTTCCGATATTGGAAACGCCCTTCGCATTGTGGGCATGCCAAAATGGGTTCGAAATCCCGGGCCTTGCTGCGTCCTTTGGCGCCTGACATGAGCCTCGGGAGAGATCCTAAAAAAAAGATGTGTCACGTTATGTTTGTATTTGAGTTGCGTTTTGTATCTTGTTGGTCCTAAGAAGCATGGCAAGACTAAGGATTCGAGTGGCTCGTAGCTCTGATTGAAAGCCATATTCTGATTGCAGCAAGCCCAGGCACTTCGAAAGGCTCACAGTCGAAGCCCAAGTCGCACTTCGAACTTTGCTCTCTAAGCCTATGGCGAGTTAGGGCCGGAATGAGTTATCGAGGTGCAGGAAGCCCGGGAAATATCCCATGTCATCTTTCAAAAGCCAAATGGATCTGACTGGTGTGGAACCTTGGGGGAGGTGTAAAATCGTGCAAATATTTGGCAGATGAGAGGCAAAACTCATGTACTGGACATTTGGCGAGAGGCGGCCCATGCCCTTTATAACAGATGGAGCTTCAACACCTGATCTAGAGGAGAAACCGGCTCGAGTATCAGGAACCCTTAGCGTTTCTGTCCAGGCTCGACGCCACGGCTTCTCGGACCCAGCTAGGGCGGTGGGAGGGGCAATTTAATTTCATGCCGCCCAAGCGCATTGACGAATCTCCGACAGCAGAAATCTGGCGCACTAGCATCTCAAACTCAAAGAATATAACTGGGGATTACATCCTAAAATGATGATTCTCCGTGGCTGTTGAGACTGGCTGAGATGCTTCTGAGGCCAGAATCTGCATACCTACATGACATAATGTGAGACGGTCATCCTATTCTGATGGACTAGCATTTGTTTGTTTCCTCAGCTAAAGTTCCACAAGGCAACATGATCAGTCTGGAAACGGACGGACCTGGAAGCAACCAAATGCAAAGGCCTCAAGCTTTCAGCTCAGGCGTTGAGCTGTCCAGCTGCCTCCAGCCAGCTGACCTTGGACTCGCAAATAGGGCGCGCAAAGTGCACCCGGTGCTGTCTTTGCCCTAAACCGTTAAACCGCTTGTGCCGCTTGTGACTGAAGTCTGAAAGGCCCACCCAACTAGGGCACAAGCAGGCTGGGGCGGCAAACAGCTTGCGATGTACTCTACACGCAATGCGAGCCCTGAACCATATTGCAAACCCTTGACATCGGGGACCCCACAGCTCCTTCGACTCAACTGGTCCGCTTTGATGCCTCGATCGCCTGGGCAATCGCGTGTTTGAAGAAGGAGTGAAGGAGGGATGAAGGGAAGGGATTCGAAGGGAAGCAAGAACAGGAAAGCAAAGGTAAGGAAAGGGAAGAAGGAACTAAGGAATAATGAATGAAGGAAGGAGGGAATGAAAGAATAAAGGAATGCACGAGTGAAGGAATGAATGAAGTGAGGAAGGAAGGCACCACGCCCATGCTGCACGTCGATTTATCGATGCGAAGAAACTGGCATGTTTGGGCGGGTCAACACCGATCCAAGCACGGTGGGCTTCCTCAGCTCTGCTTTACGGGAGGCTTTATGGGTGTCAGCACTGTGCTTTACGGTGGGCTGAAACACGGCCAAAGGCTCCCTTCCGTTGGCCACATGAGTTTTGCTCGAAACGGGGAAGCATTTTCGTTGAGCCGCTTTTGGGGGGCCCGCATTGGAGTTGACAGTTTGTGCCTCTGGCAGTGGATGGTCAGGGGCATTCGAAGGGACGTCTTGGCACATTGGCGTCCGGCATCTTCTCGCCTCTTTCGAATGGCTGAAAGGTTCCAAAGAGCCTGCGCCGCGTCGAAACTGGTGCCGGCCAATTTCTAGGGCTGGGATAGCCTGAAGACCTGTCGATGTTTCGGTCAAAACCCCAAAACACCACCAGAACGGGGGCATTTTGCAAGGGTGTGCCACAAAGTGTTCCATGACTTCAATGGAAGGAAATCAGTAGTCTGGTGACACGCCTTTCTCGCAACCCAAGCCCAACACTATCACTTGCATGACTTCTATGCAAGCTTGGCCGTGCCTGACTGAGAGGAACTACGCCTCAAAGCTGAGTCAGACTCAACTTTGCCAACTAACGAAATGGCACAGGTGATGTATCTATTGCCAATGTTCAAAATGCCATAGATACAACAACTTCGCCACGTCGGGCATGCGAGCTGCCGAGGAGCAAGCGAGCTGCCGGACGACCTAGCACATGGACTGGTGGCCGTTCTGGCGCAAAGGGTCCAAAAGGGCAGTTTGTCATACGCCATGCGCAAATCTGCCTGGCTTTGGCAGGGCCGCATTGCTCCTGACACCAGGCGTCTCTCTCCATAAAATCCAAACCAGCCGAGATCTCTTCTTGGGTTCAACTAGATCAGGGGCGCCCTGTGGGTTGTCTGTGGGTTCTGCTGCTGGGATGTTTTGCAACCGATCGACGGACCGCAGTTTCGGTTGTCCGGTCCGCGCAAACGACTCGAGGTACCGATTCATCGCCCTGCTCCCTTTGCTGCAAAAAATTGACTCCCGCCTGCGGCAAACGTGCCAGACCTAAGACACTGCATTGAACCAACTCAAAACCCACCTATCTACCCGGCCCTCCTTCAACCTACTTGAGCACCGGCAGCAACAAAGCCAAACCGAGAGTAACGGGCCCTGTGGCAGTTTCAAAGCCTTGACTGCCGAATCCTGGGTCCCAACGTGAGAACTTGCAAAGGGGGGACAACTCCAAAAGAAGCATGAGGACAGCTCCTCCAACGCACCAAAGCTTGTCACACAAACTCCTGCAGTGTGACGGAACCTGCCCGAAGAACAAATCAAACAAACACCACTTTGCGAGTGAATGCTTCCGGAAAAAGGACAACAACAAAATGACGACGAAGACAACAACGACAACTGCAACTGCAACTGCAACAACAACAACAACAACAACAACGCCAACAACAACAGCAACAACAACGACAACAGCAACAACAACAACACCAACAACAGCAACTGCAGCAACTACAACAACAACAAACAAAAACAAAAAACCACCACCACCGCCGCCACCACCACCACAACAACAACCACAACCACGACAAAAGCAACAACAAAAAACCAAAACAACTCAACAAAAAAACAGCAACAACCAACAACGACAACAACAACAACCCCCAAAAACAACGAAAACCACAACAACAAGCAAAAGCAACAACAACCAACAAAACATCAAAAGAAGACAACAACAAGAACAACAACAACAACAACACCAACACCAACACCAACAAACAACAAACAACAAACAACAAACAACAAACAACAAACAACAAACAACAAAAAACAAACAACAAACAACAAACAACAAACAACAAACAACAACCAACAACCAACAAACAACAAACAACAAACAACAAACAACAAACAACAAACAACAAACACCAAACACCAAACACCAAACACCAAACACCAAACACAACAACAACAACAACACCAACAACAAACAACAACAACAAACACAACAACAACAACAACAACAACATCACCATCATCAACAACAACAACAACAACAGCGACAGCAACAGCAACAGCAACCGCAACAACAACAACAACGACAAAAACAAAAACAACGACAACGACAAAAACAACAACCACAACAACCACAACAACCACAACAACCACAACAACCAAAACAACAACAACAACAACCAACAGCAACCAGCAACCAGCAACCAACAACCAACAGCCAACAACCAACAACCGACAACAACAACAGCAACAACCAGCAGCAGCAACAACAACAACAGCAACCCACAACACAACAACCCACAACACAACCACCCATAACACACAAACCCAAAACAACAACAAACCAAAACAACACCAACCAGAACAAACAAGAACCCAAAACAACAAAAACCCAAAACAACATCAACCAAAAACAACACCAGCCGAGAACCAGAAAGCCGACCAAAAACAACAACAAAAACAACAAGCAAAAAAACAAAAAACTCGGGAACCAACAACAGCAACCAAAAGCAACAACAACAACATTGACGACAACAACCGCAACCAAAGCAACCACAACAACACCAACCAACAACAAAACAACAACAACAACGACAACAACAACAATAACGAAACGACAACCACAACAACAACAACCAAAAAACAACACCCAAAAAACATCGACAATCAAACGCAACAACAAAGCCAACAACAACACCCACAACCAGAACAAAAACAAAACACAACAACAATCAAAAAACAACAACAACAACCAGAAACACCACCAACAGCAACAACAAAAAATAACAACAAAACACAACAACGACACCAACAACAACAGACAACAACAACAACAACAACAACAACAACAACAACAACAACAACAACAACAGAACCAAACAAAACGCGAACAACCAAAAACACTCACAACAACAAACAAAAACACTCACAACCAAGAACAACAACCACCAACAGCAACCAACAACAACCAACTACAACAAGAAAAAACAACAACAACAACAACGACAACAACAACCAAAAACAACAACAAAAACAACACCAACACAGGAACAACAACAACAACAAAAACACCAACAACGACGACAACAACAATAACGAAAACAACAACCAACAAGAGAAAACAACACTAGAAGACAACAACACAAACCAAAAAAAACAAACAACAACAACCAACAACAACAACAACGACAACAACAACAGCAACAAACACAACCGCAGTTTCCACAACAACAATCACAACAACGACAACGAAACAACAACAACAACAACCACAACAACAAAAAGGCACAAAAACAACAACCAACCACAACAACAACAAAAGCAACAGCAACAACAGCAACGGGACAGCAACAGCAGCAGCAACCAGCGGAAACAACAACAACAACAACAGCTACTACTACTACTACTACTACTACTACTACTACTACTACTACTACTACTACTACTACTTCTACTACTACAAAAATGCAACAACACCAACAAACAACACAACCACAAAAGAACAACAGCAACCAAAACCAACAACAACGACAACAACAACAACATCAACAACAACAACAACAACAACAACAACAACATAACATCAACAACAACTACTTCTACACTACGACTACTACTACACAAACGCAACAATACCAACAAAAACAACAACCACAAAACAACGACGACAAGACGGGAACATCAAAAAACAACAACAACAACAACAACAACGACGACAACAACAGTATCAAAAACAACAACCAACACGAGAAAACCACACTAGAAAACAACAACACAAACCAACAAAACAACAACCAACAACAAAAACAAAAACAAACAGCAAAACCATTAGCAACAACAGACCACAACAACTACTACAACAACAACGACAACAACAACAGCAACAACAACCACAACAACCACAACAGCCAGAACAACAAACACCACAACAGACACCACAACAAACACCACAAAAACACCACAACAAACGGCACAACAAACGACACAACAAACACCACAACAAACAACACAACAACAGCAACAACAGCAACAACAGCCACAACAGCCACAACAGCCACAACAGACACAGCAGCGACAGCGACAACAGCGACAAACCACAACAGCGACGGCAGCGACGACAGCGATGACAGCGACAACAGCGACAACAGCGACAACCGCGACGACAGCGACGACAGCGACAAAAGAAACAACAGCGACAACAGCGACAACAGCAACAACAGCGACAAAAGCGACAAAAGCGACAAAAGCGCACAAAAAAAGACAAAAGCGACAACAGCGACAAAAGCAACAAAAGCAACAACAACGACAAAAGCGACAAAAGCAACTTAAGCAACTTTGTGTGTGTGGTTGTGTGTGTGGTGTGTGTGTGTGTGTTTGTTGGGGCGCGGGCACGCGGGGGCGCGCGGGGGCGCGGGCGGGGCGTCAGCGGGTGCAGCAGGAGGGGGCTGCGGGGGCGCCGGGGGTTGCGCCGGGGGAGTGCCGGGGGCGCCGGGGGCGTGGGGGCGCCAAGGGCGCGCCGGGGGCGTGCCCGGGGTGTGCCGGGGGTGCGCCGAGTTGCGCCGGGTGGCGGGGTGCGGCGGGTGTGCGGGGGTGCGCTGGGGGGAGTGGGTTGCCTCGAGTTGCTGGGGCGGTTCCCTGGGGGGTCGCTGCGGGCGGGGGCGCCCCCCCCAGAAAACAGGTGCCTTGTCGTAGTAGAGAATATATGTGGTCCCTGGATCTATTCTGCAAGAGAGTCCAATATGCCAACAGTGGAGGAACTGAGAATGGATGTCCCTGGTCCTGCGATCTGTGGATTATTCCTGTAAGGCGCTCTCCTTTTGTAATGGCTGCAGAATGAGTACTGCGTTACCTATTATACAAGAGTGGCCTTGAGCCAAAATGGTAATGGATGTTACAGGGTCAACATGCGAAGCAAAAGCAACACAAACAGACACAGTTTCTTTTGACCCTGAACACCAAAATTGCACTCTTGGCTTCATGGCCTTTAGCCGTAGCCATTGGATATGGTGCGCTTGCCGTAGCCAAATTTAAAGTGAATCATCCTGTTTCTTGCGCGGATGAACTGTCTTGTTGGCAAAATGGATTTTTTTGTACTGGATGGATGAGATACCTAGTTGTATCCAAAACGGAAATTTGCAAGACACTTTGTACACGCGGGATGGTGTGAAACTATTGATCACTCACTGGTATATTCTTGATGTGCAGGAGGATCAATTGATTGGAATTCGTAGTGCCGGCTTCGTGTGAATGCTCTCAGCGTGGATTCTGATAGCTTCTCATTGCAATCATAGTATCTCATCATTTCTGTGGGTGCCAACGATAGCTGCTGTTGGATTGGCTTCCATAATCTCCACCATAATCCTTCCACATGGCTTCCATGTGGTCTCCTTCTCCCTCTTCTTGTTCTGGATGAACTCCTTCTTGCGGCTGAGATTTCTTTCCTGGTCAGCTGCAAGGCTGCGCAGCAATGGGGTGTGAGAATCTGAATCGCATTGTCCAAGCATTAGCGTCTCATTATTGATGCGCTTGTAGCGCTCGGCGGATGTGACCTTGTAGTCGGAGATGGCCTTGTCAAAATCGTCTGTCATGGATTCCAACGTCTCTTGATTGAGTTTGGCAATCTCGGAATGACGAAATTCTTGTTGGATGTTGGTCTTTCCCCAACTGAATGTGAAAGTCATCATACAAGCTGGAAACGCCCTGTCGTATCCTGAGCCTGTCTTCGTATGAAGATGATGGCGAGCAATGGATTTGATTGTGCATGAAGTAGACATGGAAAAACCCATTCAGTTCGCTAACGGCGTATCTTGTGTCTCGTTCCAAGTTCTCTTGAAATTCTCCATGATGTGGTGCGTGAGGCCGTTTTCAGGGTTGTAGACGGATTGCAGCTTGCTGAACGTGTTCGCGGATTTGTTGGCACCACCTGTGATCATATCGCATTGGTATTCCGTAACGAGCGGCATGATACCTTTCTGTTCAAGCTCTTCATCATCGTTTTCTGCTTCGGGGTTTGTCAGAATTGCAGGTGGGGATGGCACCACGAC